TGATTTTTCATCTAAAAACTGCATGTTTTTCTGCAATTTTTTATAAATATCTCGAAACAAACCATACCAAACCTAAAACCCTCACTGACTGGCCTAATTTGGAAAATAGTATTTTTATACATAAAGAATGATATTATTGAAAAAAAATTGCAAAATTTCCCATAGTTGCAAGCCTGGAAATACTAGTGACACGCCGATGTCAATATCAGATTGCAAGCGGTCGCTGTTGGTCTTTGCTGTTGGTGGACTGGTAAATAACAGTCAGAGAATAGGTACATTAAAGAAATGCTAACTTCATGTTAAAAAATGGAAACAGACGCCACCTGGTGTCGCCTGGCAGTACTAGCTAAATTGAGGGGAATTGGAGGGGCGGGGCTTAAAAGAGGGGAAATTTTTAAAAAAATATTTTTATAAGTATCACTGACTTACTGTTTAAAGTTAATAAACATATTTTTTATTGCTTTAATATAATTTAATGTATTAAAAAATATGTCTATTAACTTTACATAGCAACAACCAAACCAAACCAAATCAATGATATTATTAAAGACTTATTATTTTCAGAGAAAATTCATAGTAAATAAATTACACATTAGTAAACAATATCATTTATTTTTTAGAGCTGCGATTTATATTACAATAATATTGAAATATATATATTTTTTTAACAATGAAAAAGAATATCCCGGAACCTGAAAAAGAAAGATGATCAATTAATGACTTAAATTAGTTCAAAATACATTTTGCAAATAACTAGTGAATTGGAAAGATAAACTTACTATTAAAAAGACATTTTATTAGTATGTTATCATCTATTTACTGATAATACATTACATAAGTATATAATAGGTAAATAACATGCATAAGGCACTATGATACAACTACCTGTATCATGATAACACACTAATATGACAAAAAATATATGCTAGTTTAAATTCCTTTAATGATCTAATGAAACACTATCTAGTCTCAAAGCATGCCATTCCAAAGGCGAAAAAAACTTATACCAAATAAATATAAGCTGAATAAAACATAAACCAAGCCAACGTGCATAAACAACCAAAAAATGCATCAAAAAATACTTTTATCATATCATACCCTTGGATATATTATGTATTTTATATATCGCACATCCCGTTCAAAAGTTTACTAACTCAAAATAGAGAATATAGAGAACATTGTCAGGAGAAGTAAAAAGAAAATTTAAGTTGGCAATATGCTCCTTTTGCATATTAACGGCCAAATAATATAATGTTGATTTAATAAAATTTTACTGGCATCCTTCTGAGGTATAAATCAGATTAAAAAGGACATTGTTTTTTAATAATTGTTTGTTTTGTAAACATTTTTTGAAGACAATACAGTTTTGAACGGGCTAAAAGGATATAAACAAGGATCTTACTATTATTTGAGGTTAGAAAGTATTTAAATAATATAAAACATAATCAAAATCATTTTTCATCATAAATTATAGAGGTACTTACGTGTTTTGATATTATTATCAGGAAATAATACGTTTAGTTAAACAGGTACGCTGCCAGGCAAGTTCTATCGGCGGGTCTTTGCAAGAGTTCAAATCTAAAAATACAAAAATACGTTTACATCTTAGTTGTATTTACGAATAAAGTATTTGTGTGTAATTTCTGACTTACCAGTTAACTGAATAATCGCATTAAATACATCCAAATGGTAATTTAATATTGTAAAAAAGCAAAATTGTTTTAAATCACTTGCCAGGACAGCCCGGCCAGCTTCTTGGTTGACAAAATGGCCGCGGTGTCATGATTTAAGCAATGTGAGTGACAAAGAAAGCCAATGCCTGGCAGATGTTGCTTTCTTTGTCGTTGGTCCTGGCACGTTTAAATTTGACTGTTGCCTGTTTTCCCATACAAGTGACACCCCCGTGATAACAGTAGTAAAATAACAGATCACGAAATAACAACCTGTTTGTACCTTAGACAAGGAAAGGGAGGGGACAGGTAACACGGCAGCTGAAAGTGAGGCAAGTTGTCACCAGGCGAAATTCTCCAATGGCGTAGCATTAGAAATTAGCTTGTACCTAGACGGTACAAAATATTTATTAAAACGTAAACTAATTTATCGTTCATTTTTTAGTAATGCATATACAATTTTGTATTTTATAGTCACAGTGGACTGATTATCAAGACAATTATTTATTTATTAACCTGTGTGTAATGTATAATTAAATAAAAAATAATGTAATAACATATGTTTTAAACGTGTATATACATATATACTGTATGATCGAAAAAACGTCTTGTTTGTTGGGAAATGACAATTTCACAAATGAATATTAAAAATTACATTATTCATTGAATCCGTAAGTAAGTGTGAAGGGAATTGACTAGATTCATTATTATATCATATAATCGAAAAAAAAACGACGTCCAGTTGGCTTGTAAATTACGATCGATGATATTCCTCATATAATTCTACATATAAAATGACATAAAAACTATACAAAACGACATCGAAAAAAGACAGCGTCAGCGATGGCTATGAAATGAAGATCGCTGTCATTTTATATCTAAAATTATATGGGGAATGTCGTCGATCGTCATTTACATGCCAACTGGACGTCGTTTTTTTTTTCGACCATACGGTATAATAATGAATCTAGCCATTCCCCTTCACATTTGCGTACGGATTCAATGAATAATGTAATTTTTAATATTTGTTACCTTCAATCATAAGAATATCCTAATTTTCCACAAAAAAATAAATTTATTAAAAATTAAATTTAAGTTTTATATAACAACTATACATATAGATTTTTTATCACTAGAATTTTTAATTTTTTTTATAGTTTACAATTATTTTACATATTTGATAACAATACTTTATACATTTTTTTACATGTAAAATACAATATAAAAAAATGTTTATTGCAGAAATTGTATTTCTCTGATTATAATTCCCTACGCCACTGGAGAAATCCATGCTGAGTAGCATTATTTATAGTTTCAAGTTTTTTTTTAATTAATTATAATACAGGATATTGAAAATACTACTTGGAATTATTAAAAATAGTTTGGTTTGGATGTGGTACAAGACATATTAAAAGCATTTTACATATTTTTACTGCTATAATGAAAAAATGTACATTTTATGACCACATAACAAAAGTTGTGTATCGATTTTTACCTGTGAAATGTAATTCCAGACACTTTTTTCTCGCTTCGGCCTTTGCAGCCATACACATCTCACCGTACTAAACAACACAGTTTATAAATTTAAAACAAAACAGTTGTCACAAAAAAACATAAAAATTCGCTCGGTGTCACCTCGCAATCTTGTCACCAAAGTATGGCCGCCGATCGAATTTTGGCCTCACTAACCGATCACGGGAGAATTATGCGTGTTACCCGTCCCCTAGGATACTATAGAAATAAGGATAGTTCGATTCCTATCTTCCTGCACTGTCAGTTTTTTTACGTCATCTACTGACCGAGTTGAAGTTAGCGCTAAAGATTTTAGACAGTGACAGTTATTTTTGCATTTGACGGACGACCGCACAGTGCGTTGGAAGATAAATTTAGCGGGACAAAAGCGTTTGGTTAGAAATAAGCCAAAAAATGTGTACTGATAAGAATAAATAGTAGACATTCCAATTGATACAAAAATGCATGAATATTCTTTGTATTTCGATACATTTTTATCAACCAAATTTGGTCATTTTCTGCTCAGCAAGGCAGAGATCATACGAAAACAAAATATTTACAAGTGCTTATACATTTTATTAGAAAGCCAAATTATGTTGAAGATTGCCAAAGGTATGTACTTTTCTACTGTACGTATATTATTTGTTAAAATCCTTCGTGCCTTTGTTCTGCAGATATCAAACTTTCACTTTTTTTCAAATATTGATATATTGAATGATGTAGATCTTTTGAGTTACCAATAGTTACCAACACAGGTAGTCACAGTCACAGGGAGTTCAAGCTTAACAGGTGAATGCCCAAAAAGATTCATTTCAATCGGATAGTATAAAAACAAAACAACTCCATCAAAAGGCACTGAGTTTAAAAAATTGTCTTAGATACTTACTATATATAAATTTACAATTACCGAGTGTTAAAATTAAAATATCTATCTTATTTATTAATTTCAAAATAAAATATATTTTTTAAAAATAAATTATAGAGGGTGTCACAAGATTACAAATTAATTTAAAAAAACTGCTAAAGAGTTTTTTGATATCATAATTTTATGTATTTGGCAGTAGTTTACAATACGGTTTTTGTGTGTCATGTACGAATAATATCATAGTTTTATTATCTTGTATTTGTTTATTAATAAATTATTTTTGTGTGTCATGTACGAATAATATCATAGTTTTATTATCTTGTATTTATTTATTAATAAATTAAGTTGTTAATAAATAAATAAATTTACCCATATTGTTGCTGTATATTAGACCATTTGCTACGTTCTTAGATTTTAAGTCCCAAACATTGCTCTTGAGATTTTGTCCCGCTAGAATAACCATCCGCCGCACTGTGGAGCGCTGGTCAGCGCGTGACGTAGCATTCCACGGCGACTACGAGCGGCGATTTGACGCGATCGAACAGTCCTTTAGAATATATACAGTCCTTGACCCCTCCCCTCTCTTTCCTTGTCTAACATTTGTACAGTGTCAACTTTTAATCATATCATTAGTATCATAGTTGATCGCAAATACGTTTAAATAAAATATACGACGGCCTCCCCATAAGAGCAATGAGAGGATTTACGTCCCAGTATTGAAGGAGGACAGAAAATCGAGTCGAATGGTTTCAAGACATAGGTTCATCCTTGTTTAGTCAAACCTCCTACAAACCAAGGATAGACTTATGTAGGAAACGCATTGAAATTCTATAGCCATCCTTCAATATCGGGACAGGAATTTAAACGGTACCCTCCGTATACTTTATTTTAAACGTATTTGGTTGATCGTCTCAGTAAGTTATGTTTTATTAAATTATTTTGCTTAATTTCAGAGAGAAGCAAAAGCAGTTAAAGGAAGACAAGAAAGAGAAACGAAAGACCCAAAAAGGTGAAAGAAAAAGATAGCAGTCATAAAATTATATATTGTACATTTTTTTCGTTTAATGTTGGATCTATATTATGCCATTATTAACAATCTAATTTTCTTGGTCTCGTGTTACTTATATTTAAAACCTATGTGTAAAAATAGAATTTAGATATGTCTGGTCTCAATTTCCTTTCATTTTTAAATTTTCACATATAGGCTTGGTGGCCTTGGTGCATTTCAACCTTTGAATAAGAAAACTAAGGAAGGAGCATATTGTCAAGAAAAATGGCGCAACCGCCAGAAATTAAAAATGTATTACTGGTTGCCTGCACAACCGCAACGTATCCGCTAGAAATTAAAAGACTTTTTCAGGCGCCATCTTTTAGTCAAGTCGAGAAGTAAGGGAATCAGACAATAGAATTGTCTGGTGTGAAGAAGTACGCTTTCCGAGAATTTATGAAATTTCGAGAAGCAGTCAATAGAGTATATAAGCCGGAGCCATCGACAACTGAGAGGAGTTTTTGAAATTTGAATATACCGCGTGGAAATTGAAAATCGGACAATTTGGTGAAGGAATCTTATAAATAGTTAGTTTGTTGTGTGTTATAAGTTAGTAATTGTGTATAAAGTGAGAAAATAAATTCGTTAAGTATTTTATCGTGAGTTTAAATTAGTGGACCCACGGAATCCGTAACAATTGGTGTCGGAAGTGCGATTCAAGAGGATTTTAAGCAGAAATTAAGTGGATTGGAAGATTTTTAGACCGAATTAGAGTATTTTTATGGTTGGTACAAGGGAACAAGCGAAGAAAATGGAGGAAGTAAGCAAATTATTGGGCGATTTTATGGAGAATATGAGAAGAGAGAAGGCAGAAGAACAAGAAAGACTCCGTAAAGAACGAGAAGCAGAGCGAGCCCGACTAGAAAAAGAGAAAGCAGAAGAACAAGAAAGACTCCGTAAAGAACGAGAAGAAGAGCGAGCCCGATTAGAAAGAGAAAAGGAAGAGGAAAAACTACGACGTCAACAAGAACAGGACCGGCTTGAGAACATTTTCGAAGATCTAAAAATTCAACGACAACAAGACAAACAAGAAGAACAGGACCGGCTTGAGAAAATGTTAGGTAATTTGGAAATTCATTTCGAGGAGCGACATCGTAGAGAAAAACAAGAAGAACAGGACCGGCTTGAGAAAATTTTCGAAGATTTGAAAATTCAACGACAACAAGACAAACAAGAAGAACAGGACCGGCTTGAGAAAATTTTAGAAGATTTAAAAATTCAGCGACAACAAGACAAACAAGAAGAGCAGGACCGTATTCAACAGAGTATCGAAAATTCGGAACGAAGACAAGAGACCCACTTCCAAGAAGTCGTAGAAGATCTGGAGGAGCGCCTTCAGCAGAAAATGGAAAAATTAGAGATGGACCTACAGAAGACCAAGGTACAAGTAAGGACACCTGGCGTTTCTGGAACTGCGAACGTCAAGGCCCCGACCTACGATGGACAAACCACCTGGACGATGTACCACCGCCAGTTTGAAGCAGCGGCTGCTGCCAATGGATGGACTGACCAGGAGAAAGCAGCGGCACTTGTCATCGCGCTGCGTGGCCCTGCCCTGGAACTCCTGCAAACTATTCCTGCAGCCCAACAGCAGGAATATCAAACTTTGGTCGCTGCACTGGACAGAAGATATGGCGACCAACATCGACGCCAACTTTACCAGGCACAGATCAAGACACGCCTGCAGAGGTCCGGAGAGAGTCTGCAGGAATTTGAAGCAGACTTACGTCGGCTGGTACACCTGGCATATCCAGAAGCACCGGAAGGATTTAGGGAGGAACTCGCTGCTCAGTGCTTTATCAGCGGACTGAGGGACAACGAATTACAGAGGGCGCTGCAAATATCCCGATTTTCCACCAGCAGCGAAGCACTGGTCAGGGCGCTGGAAATCGAAGCTGCCTTTAGCGCCATCCCTAGGCCGAAGATAAGATCGGTAACGGTCGAGGAACAGCCCGAAAGCACTCACAGAGGTTTGGAGGAGATGTGTAAGAAAGTCGACAAACTATGTGAGCTACTAATAAACAAGGGAGTCAACAACACCCAGACAGAGAACCAGAGAAGATTCCAGGACATAAGGTGCTTTAGATGTGGCAGGAATGGCCACATTAAACGGGATTGCCGCGTTCAAATGCGATCCCGTTCACCATCCAGAGAACGTAGGCACCAGGAAAACTAAAATCAGTCAATACTAAGGGGCGAGTATTGACTGGGGAGAACAGAGCCCCCAGGTTTTTTCCCATTAGGAGTCTGGGAAGAACCGCTGACAGTTTAGTGATCGACGGGAAGGTCAATGGTAGGAGAATCCGAATGACAGTGGACACTGGCGCTATGGTATCGTTGGTGCGGGCTAACTCAGTGCAAGAATTGAAGCTGATGCCTCTGAGAAGAAGAGTGTGTTTACGTACAGTTACGGGGGAAATGGCCGTTGTACGGGGAGAGGCTATCGTCGAACTGAAGTTAGGAAATTTGAAGTTTCGGCATAGCGTTTTGGTGGCTGACATTGAAGATGATTTTATCATGGGTATGGATGTGATCAGTCAACATGGTTTTTCGTTTGATCACCATAGAAACATCCTGAAAATCGGAAATGAGGAATTTTCTGTATCTAAAGAGAAGAGACCAGGAAATATGGAAGAAAGATCATCGAAAATTGTGATGATACCTGGTGATACCAAGAAGACTGTGTTCGGGAAACTAGAGAAAACCGCTGGGTGCCGTGTAGGACGGGTACAAATTATCGACAACGACCTAGATCGACGACGAGCTACCTTGGACAAGAAAATGAAACATCGCGAAAGCATTATCAGAATAAGGAATTTTAAGCTTAGAACTGACGAACCATGGACGACGATACAATTGAGGAAAGATCAAATGGAAGATCCAGACATCGGAGCAATACTACGGCTCAAGGAAGGTAAGGGCGAGAGACCACCGTGGCAGGATATTGCGGACAGAGGGCTGGTTTTCAAAGCTCTCTGGGCTCAGTGGAATTCACTGGTTATTGAGAATGGATTGTTAAAGCGCACGTGGGAAAGTGCGGATGGCAGGACAGTAACAACTCAGTTACTGGTACCAAGGAAGAAAGTTACCCAGGTATTGGAAGAAATTCACGGTGGTAAAACTGGAGCCCATCTTGGGGTAAACAAGACCTTGAGCAAGCTGAGAGATCGCTTTTACTGGGTGGATTATTGCGAAGATGTAAAGAAATGGTGTCGACAATGTAAGATTTGCGCAGCTAGACAAGGACCAAGTACTCGATCTGGAGAAAAAATGGAACAAGATAACGTTGGACTGTCGTTCGAAAGAATCGTTAGGAAGGAAAGATTATTGGGAATTCATAAGGCCGTGAGAAGTAAGATTACGCTAGCCAGTGACCGGATGAAAGCTCGTTACGACCTCAGAGCTAATTTTACGGGATTTCAACAGGACGATAGGTATGGTTGTATAACCCACAGCGCAAGAAAGGAAGGTCCCCAAAGTTAACTCCAGCATGGGAAGGTCCTTATACAGTCATCAAGAGGATAAATGATGTGTACCGGATTCAACGCAGCCCTAGAAGTAAGATGAAAGTAGTTCATCTGGATCGATTGAAGAGATACCAGACAGGAAACCTTGATCGGGACGATCAAATTTGAGAAGGGGGCAATGTCAAGAAAAATGGCGCATCCGCCAGAAATTAAAAATGTATTACTGGTTGCCTGCACAACCGCAACGTATCCGCTAGAAATTAAAAGACTTTTTCAGGCGCCATCTTTTAGTCAAGTCGAGAAGTAAGGGAATCAGACAATAGAATTGTCTGGTATGAAGAAGTACGCTTTCCGAGAATTTAGGAAATTTCGAGAAGCAGTCAATAGAGTATATAAGCCGGAGCCATCGACAACTGAGAGGAGTTTTTGAAATTTGAATATACCGCGTGGAAATTGAAAATCGGACAATTTGGTGAAGGAATCTTATAAATAGTTAGTTTGTTGTGTGTTATAAGTTAGTAATTGTGTATAAAGTGAGAAAATAAATTCGTTAAGTATTTTATCGTGAGTTTAAATTAGTGGACCCACGGAATCCGTAACAATATCAAAAATCTTAGGTACACCGCGATAGGCCTCAAATATGGCCGATTTAAATTCCGGTTTATCAGTGTCGTTCTAATTTTATTTAAAAAATGTAAAACTATGATGTAGGGTAGACGTGGGGTAGACTCAATAATTTGTTATTTTATTTTACGTTGTGAATAAATGTTGGTAGTTATTAAAATTGTTATAAAAATATATAATTCTAATAAAAATAGATAAGTTATAATAAGTATTTATTAACACAAATATCCGATACGCTACTGAAGCAGGTAAGTCAAATTAACGTATCAAAATTCTTTGACATCTGATCTTTGACAAGTAGTAAATAAAAGCTAAAATGCAAGAAAATATATAATTTAGTTAATTTAAGTGAATTTCATAAATGATCGGTTTACTACACGTATGTATATTATATAGTCACTTACTAGCGAAAAGTTGTTCCATTATTTCACTCAATTTTTGCCGAGATCTACCGCACGCTACACAACCAACTATTCTAGAGTCTTTTTCGATAAATCGCGATAATGTCACTGTTAATTTAAGTTCTGCTACAATTTCCATCTAGATTTACTACCTTTATACAACTATCAGTAGTAGAATAAATAATAAATAACATAAAATAAGCTCCGTAAAGACTGACAAATCCACAAAATTTCAAATCAAATTCAAATGTGTCAAATGAATCGTCAAACAGAACTGTCAAAGATCCCCACCCTAGAGAGCTTTTTCCGCCCACCATACATGAATACATGGATAGCATTATGCTCATTCCTTAGTCTTCTTATTCAAAGATTTCAACAGATTTTTAGAATTACGACAGTAGCGCTCGGTACGGCAGAAATCAGAACTGTTCAACTTGTTTAACCTAAAGTTTGTTTCACGCCGCGCCGTCCCGATTGCCGTTCATGTTGATCGTTCATGAAATCGTGGTTATGTCATAATATTTTAGTATTTTTATTAAAATGAATGAAATTCTCATGAATAAAGTGGGTGTGATTTAACGCTGTTTCGTGTAGTAAAAATTAATTGAAGTATTACTGGCTATTCCACGCTAGTTTCTGGATGTATTGCACAAGTGCATCAAAAATATCAATCAATCTGATTAACAGCATGTTATCTAAAATTCACAATGCACAAGTTAAGCTGCGCTGTGTAGATAATTAAGATAACACTATGGAACACAATTATCTGGTTAAGTTAAATAAAATAATACTCTTAAACTAGCTTGATTTATGTTAAAAAGAGAGCCAAATAATATTTTTTTTACCTTATTAATGAAAATAAATATATGTAGAGTAGGTATTGGTAAGCTCATAACAAAGTAAATAAAAAAAATATTTTTGAAAATATTAGTGAAAAACTCGGCACTCTTAGCGAAAAACTAGGTACGCCATTGGATTCTACGTGAAAAAGTCTATGAGATACAATTTTCACCTTTTCGATAAATTATAAAATAATTAAGATAACGAGGGGGTGAAAAATGCAACATTTTAAAATTCGCCCTGTATTTCAGGAACTAAGATGGCTAGGACAAATCTCTGTGTATATAGCATCTTTAGTTTCATAAAAAAAAGTAGCTAGTTGTATCTCTACCTATAAACGAGAAATGCAATAAAAATATATGAGGCCACCCTGTACAGTGTACAAGGTGTCCCAAATTCGAGCTTCATCACTGGGATCTCAAAAATTAGGAAAGATACGAGGTCGGTTAAATTGAGGCAAAGTTGCGTAACTTTATGCTGATATAAATGCCACGTTGAATGCCGTACAATATGAATTTTCTGAATAAGTGCGATACATACTTGATTTTGGGATCTTAAAATCCGTAATAAAAATCTAGAGCCGTATTTAAAAAAAGAAAGAAAGTAGATGATGAAAGTAGGTCGGTTTGAAAATCTGATAACACTATCTTGTAGAACAAAAAAAGTAGCAATGAAAATGTGAAATCTTTTTTGTTATATCTATTCAGTCAAATAAGGTCATAAAAAATAAAAATAATGCTAATATTCGTTTTTTTTTATTTAATCAATTTATTTTATCAAATTACGAAACTTTGCCTCAATTTAACTGACCTCGTCACAAGAACACATCATCACTGAATGCGCCGCGAAGTTTGTTATGACTGATATCGGAGATGAAGAACTAACCTCTATAAAACCATCTCAGATATGATCTCTGTATGATAAGTTATAACTAGTTAGTGGATAACCTCCAACCTCCAACTCCCAGTGGATAACATACCAAGGATGTACAGGGTGGGTCAAATTCGACGCTTTTAAATGGAAACACCCTTTTCTATAGGAGATAGACGAAAACTAATATCGGTGTCTGGAGCTCAATTTTCATCAAAAACATGGTGGTGAAAACCGCACATCGATATCTGTTACCGTTTCGGAGTTACGGGGTGTTTTTAAAAAATATGCATTTTTAACAAATCGCTGTAACTTTTTTGCTATGGAAAATTTTGTATTTCTATGAAAACATTTCCAAAGCACCTTTTTACGTAGACTTTAATGGTTTAAGTATAATTTTTTTAAAATTAATAATTTAAGAGTTATCAACAGAAAAATTGATTTTTTATTTGGGACACCCTCTATATTTTTAATTAACAAAAAAGAATTTAAAATTACCTTTCCAAAAATATAGCACACTTGATATTTTGTTATAAACCCCTTCGAAATACAGAATTTTTAAAAGTTCGCCACTTTTGACTAGTAGGCTTTGGACCCCTTATTGATGATATGCCCTTAATGGAACTCGAAAACATATTTTTCCAGCAAGACGACGCACCGCCTCTGAACGCTGAAGTTATCAGCAAATTTTTGCAGCCAATTTCATGAATAATTGAATAGCTAACCAAGATCCCAGCCGTTGGCCGTCGAGGTCGCCTGACTTAGTGCCCATGGATCTAATCATATTGATATATTTGCAGAAAAATAAATGTTCCTTATTTTTCGGTATAATTTAGACAAGAATTAGAAATACTTAGCAGTTATGAGAGGGTATCTTTCACCCCCACTGAGTTAATGAATTTCGCGAGAAATGTTCAAAAACTGCCCCGTCTGTCCATAACAGAAGACGGTTGATATGTCGAACACCTGTAGCAAAATCTCATGTCTTGGTTTGCTATTTATTTTTATTGTTATTAGATATAGTTTAAATGTGTTGATGTTGGTTAAATATATTTTAAATTGTTATAATATTCTGTATCTCTCATTGCAAATATTATTTTCGTTTTAATTGATGCTCACAGCTAGAATGTTTTTGTATTACAGCCGGTGCCGTTCAAAGCCTACTTATTTAAAGCGGGCGAATTTTTATATACTCTATATCTCGAAGAGGAATCGAGCAAAATATCAAGTGTGTTATATTTTTGGAAAGGTAATTTTAAATTCTTTTCAATAAATTAAAAATATACAGGGTGTCCCATATAAAAATCAAATTTTCTGGTGATAATTCTTAAATTATTAATTTTTAAAAAATATACTTAAACCATTAAATTCTACGTAAAAGGTGCTTTGGAAATGTTTTCATAAAAATACAAAATTTTTTCATAGCAAAAAGTTACAGAGATTTGTTAAAAATGCATATTTTTGAAAAACACCCCGTAACTCCGAAACGGTAACAGATATCGATATGCGGTTTTCACCATCATGTTTTTGACAAAAATTGAGCTCCAGACACCGATATTAGTTTTTGTCTATCTCCTATAGAAAAGGGTGTTTCCATTTAAAAGCGTCGAATTTGACTCACCCTGTACAATTTTGAGAAACACCTCACTGTAGTATTGACGTATATGAAGAGATATACGTATTGGAAGAGAGAAACGTTTGCTTAGCATGTAAAAGACCATACAATAACGTGATATACTGATGCTTTCAAAAGTTTCGAGAACTAAATACTCCTCCAAAAATAAAGTCCTCCTACTATGGGTGCCAGCTCATCAAGATATGAAAAAGCAAAGATCTGGCTAGAAAAGGAGCGAAGACTCCACTAACTGGACCAGAACCGTTCTGCTTTCCAAGCGGAACTGAAGCACCTCGAAGACTACATCCCCTGGAATGGGAGTCCTCCAACGGTCTAACGGCCGTATTCATAGTCGAGCGCCAGCCGCCCGCCGAAAAGAAGCGCTCGCCGAAGATTTCTCCGGCGAGCGCTTCGATATCGGAAGAGAAAAAAAGCTCTTTCATAGTCGGCCGCCAGCGCACCGCTGGCTGGCGAAAATAACGCCGCGTCGCCAAAAAAATTTCACTTCGGGTGGAGGGTTTTAACAACAGGGAACATGTTTTCTTCCCTTTTCTACACAAAATCGATTATACGAGCTTTAACATTCTCTAAATATTTAAATATTAATAATTTAAATATTTTATTGATATTGGGTACCTAATTTAAATATTTTATTAATGTGTCCATTATTTTGTTATAATTCGTTTTAAAGTAATGAATAATATCTTCGTAATCCTTCACTTATAGTAAAAAGATTTACAATTTTTTATATACATATTTTTTAGCTAGGTATATTTTTGGGTCATAATAAAAAGGATATTAAGTTAATAATTTACATAATGGGGAATTCCATAGGTCTGTTCGGTTATTTGAAAGTTTTATGGATTCTTTTTTATTACGTTTATCAATTTTTATAGACCTTAACCTTAACCTATTGTTGCTGTGTTAAGGATTTTAAAATTATTTTAAGGGAAAATATGACCAGAGTAGAAGTAATTTATATTTTTAAATTGGCTCTAATATTGTTTTGTGTAGATGACTGATGTTTTGTGAATTTGGTATATTTTTTCCAGTTTGTGTAAAATACAAAAAGAATTAATGTAATAAACGTAAAAACAATAGGAAAAATAAAAAATTATAAACATAACAAAAACAAAACGATAAAACAAATAAATGGTCAAATAGATGGACGGAATTCATATGCCTCAAATGTAATGAATAATGGCCTCAAAAATACGAATGTCATCGTTTTCGTTAATCGTCACAATATTATAAATATCCATAATTAATTAAGTTTGCTTGGTGCTTCTTTCAACTAGAGAAATAAACCAGACTAAACTGGCGGGCCGCCCGGAGATGGTACGGACATGATCCAGTCTCCGGCCGAAAATCACCGGATGGGGTTTAAACTGCGCAAGTGTTCTTCGCCTGGAGATCGACTATGAAACGGAAAAAAATGCTTATCCAACTGCCCGCCGGCGAGAGAGCGGTTACTCTATATGACGGATGTTCGCACGCGTTACTCGGAGAGCGCTCGACTCTGAAATAAGAACGAAGAATTTCGGGAAAGGTCCCGCCCGCGAGCGGCTGGCGATCGACTATGAATACGGCCCTAAGACACTCGAAAAAGTTCCTCAGAAGACCGAGAACCAAACACCCTTCTTTGTTGAAATATTCTCTATCCATCTGTATGTATTTTGAAGCAGATTATGTTTCATTAATCTATATTAAGAAATAAAATATCTTAGTGGACTGACATTTTCTTTATTTATTCAACATTTTCTTTATACCTAACTTAATTAGATAAAGTGCATTACATAGAAATAGTTCGTATAAAAATTATGCTGCCTTTGTTCCCTTAATATTTATGTTCCTTTTGTTTTACGGCTTCTTTAGGTATTTAAGCGTCTAATATTACTAAAGATATTTTAATAAATACTAAATTAATTGGATTTATAAATATTATATTGAAAGCAAACTTTATTTCATAACATTACAATGGTGGAAACTGTTCTTCTGGATCAACCCTTAACATTTTGTCCGTTAACACTAACTTGTTTATAGATTCGTATTGATCTCGTCCACCGGCAGACTTTGCGAGACTGAATGCCTTTTTCAGCATATCTTTACACGTTCTAGGCAAATATATAGGAAAAATTATATTAAATTTGATAATCAAATCTCCCTTTTCTGGATATTTGTCTAGTATCGGCAATCCTTCATTTTCAACTATTTTTTCATATACTGGACTAAAAGGAGAAATGTTATTGCACTAAAATAAAGTTTAATATACATGCCTTATTATATCTGTTATTGGAACTCTAATGGTCCTATGGTCAATAGTGCAAACAGTAACAACTAAGCCCGTTAATGCGTCTTCTAAAGATATGTTTGTGACAAATATAAGATCGTCGTCTCTTCTTGAAAATACTTCATGCTCTTTATCTTCAATAGTAAATATAACGTCAGCTGTAACAAATATCGTATAATTTTTAAATATAAAATAGGTACCATACGATCGAAAAAACGGCGTCAGTGATGGCTTGGAAATGTAGATCCCTGTCATTTTATATGTAAAATTATATAGGGAATCTCATTGATCTTCATTTCCAGGCCAAGTGGATGCCGTTTTTTTTTCGAATTATACGGTTTAATGCATGTATCAAATCAGTAAAAACGTATCATCTGAATGAATATTATGTACAATTAGCTAAAAACTAATAAGTTGAGCCTACGTCAGAATGAAAAAAAGTCGACAATTTGCTTCATTGGCATTACCAGGGGCGTAGCGTGGCGTCAATATATGGGGATGTAATAAAGTAACTGCAATTAACATTTTACAAAGTTACAAAAATAAAATATACAAAAAATGTAACAGGTTAAAAAATAATCAAACCAATTTAAATAAATTGGCGCCGGGAGGCACGTATAGCCGCCCATACCAAAATAATTTAATAAAAAGTTGGTAGGCAGTTCTTTTAGTTTCAAAGTAAAGGAATTTTCCAACTTTTTTCATCTCAAAAACTGCGACTGACTGATTTTGATGTTATTACAAATTTTGTTGCAAATATTATTCCTAATCTTAAATTGAAAACCGCGTTTCGCTAGCTACTGTAATTTTGGAGTTACGATTTTTTAAAATTTCTAACCCCCTCCCATACCCCCTATATACTATTTATATTATTTATATTTGGTATGGTCGGCTAAAAAGAACTAAATTTAGGAATTTAGGTAAAAAAAACAAAGCTATGAACGTATTTGTTAGATTTTAAATTTTAAAATTAAGATCAATTCTTCTAGTATGCTTATTTGCAAAAACTTTTATTACATACATAAATATTACAAAGGAGATATAATATAATATACATATTACAAGGAGAAGAACGCATAATCTCTACTCTCGAATCGTTCATCGCCGACGTGCGACGATATTATTTTTTATTTTATACCACGAACGAGATGTGTTTATGAAACCGCATCACCCAACGACTAAAACCACAGTTTAAAGAATATAAATATATCAGTTGGCCTACTCTTCGCCCATATCAAAATTCCTCCGGCCGCTCCCCGCCTGTCTTGTAGACTTGGGTCAGTTTACATCCTTTGCTCGACGTGTACACAGCGTTCCAAGTTTATTTTAGTTTTGTTTTCGGTCCGACGCATAGGGTGAACCAAAAATAGTGTTTTAGTTGTTTTGTTCGAATTGTGAATAAAATGTCTACTAGATGTTTATATAGTATAGGATATTAAGTATATAATAATTAAAGTATTAGACATTTTAAGTATATTATAATTACGGAAACCCAACTATGAATAAATTGTTTTAAAAATATACATATACATTAAGAAAAGATTTTACTCGAAATATGCACAAAATATTTATTTTTAACAATTAGTTTATTATTTTAGTAGATATTTTAGAGTAGTAGTAGATTAGTAGATACTTTACTATAATGTTTTGGGATTTTCCAGTATTTACCGGTTGGCAAAGTGCATATTAAATTATTAAAAAAATTGAGTCAGGTAATAAAAATACGTGCATACAACTTGATTTGCTATTGACAAGTTTTTTAGAGTTTTTACTAAATTTTATGTAACAGTAAATATAACAATTGACGAACACATGGGAAAAACGATGAATATCCAGAAATGGGGATGTTCAGGAAGGCGTTTTTTTTAATTCAAATTACGCATGGACTTTTCTATCGTTTTTCCCATTTTTAAATGCCTCTTTCTATGTGGCCGTTATCGATATTCCCGTTTATTTAGGTACCAAAAGGTGTAGCCCCCCTTTTTGGTACTTTCATTGTTTTTTCCGTGTGCTCTTCAATTATTAGTAAATATTGTAATAAATTATATTTGCATATTTCTTAAGTTATAGCATGTTTTGCTTTTTAGCTGTTTGCATTTAACTTGAATTATCTACCTTTTTATCAAAAGGTAATAAAAAGTACTTGGATACAACTTGTCTTGCCATTGTCAATTTTTTTCAGTTTTTACTAAATTTTATCAAACATTAAAATTTATTACACAATTAACTACTAACAGTCATAATTATTGTTCATGATTATCATAGAATTTAGAAAAAATTCCAAAAAAATTGTCAATGGCGACACATGTTGTATGCAAAGGTACTTTTATTACCTTACGATAAAATTCGGGCTTTCCAGGTAGGTAATTAAAGTAAAATGCAAACATCTATAAAGCAAAGCATGCTATAATTTAAGAAATATGCAAATATATTATTATATGTATATTAAAAAAAATAACTTATTATATTTATTTAGAAAAATAAATAGGGGAATTATTATTAATTAATAATAATTCCCCTATTGACAATTCCATATTCCAAAGAATTAGGATAGAATAATATATCTAATATTTTAATATTAATGTATTCACCATAATATGTATAAGTAGAGTCTGATAAGAAAAATAACTTGTAGGTGTGGAGCCTGGAAAAGTGCCTTACGATTTATAGGATCCCACAGATATGAAAATTATACACCAGAACAATATCATAACCGTATTAGAATTTGCGGTTTATGAGAGATATGTTATTAAATAATAATAAGAAGAAAGTAAATAAATATTGATCAATTATTTAAGACGCCTAAAACTGTTAATCAATAAAACTAGTAGATATTGTATTTTTATTTTTTCTACTTGCTATATTAAAATTCCTTAGTATTTTTAGTTGATCCCTCGTATACGGCCAGCGTTCTGACTGATAAAATAGCACTTCCGCTGCACCTGGTAAACGTAGAAATTTTTTGTCACCTCGAAGGGTCACGGGCCGCCTTTGAAGTCAAAATAACAATAGAATTCCTTAAGAGTGAGCCAACTGTATATGTATATATTCTTTAAACTATGCTAAAACCCTGAACGGGAGACGGAAATCGTGGCCGGAAAGTTCGCTGACCTCGGCTCGCGTTCGGCGGCGTTCAAGATGTAACTAGGACAGTCACATCATCGCGCTGTCGAGATATTTTTATTTTTAACGTTTAGCTTAGGTGTTAGCGTTATGTACAGGGTATTTCAAAAACATGTGCCATCTCTCGTGGGGAAATTCTTCACGTAAAAAGATTTTTTATTTTTCATATCGACATACTAGGTCCGATTCTACTTTAGCTACATGGTGTTAAAGTAGTGATGGGCAAAACTGTTATTTTTAGATAACAGTTGAAACTGTTATAGTTATTTATAAAAAACAGCTTAAAATAACAGCTTAAAAATAACAGGTTCATCCTATTGCTAAATATCTGAAAGAGTATGAAGCGGTCGCCGCCAGGCGTATTAACGCAGTTGCAAGTTGCTACAATGACATGCTCGGTGGTAGTATTTCCAGGGTGTCTAAAAATTTCTAAATATCGATTGTTATCTAAAATACCTCTCTAAAAACGGTCGTTGTTTACAAATAAGCGCTGTTTACAAAATGCGATATAAAAAAGCCAAAATTCCGCCACTCGTCTATACGTATACATTCCGATCTACCTACGCCTTGCCCCTCGATCGGCGTAGATCCTGAATTGCCTAGCAGTGTACAGGGTGCATCTCACTCGACGGGCAAGAAGCTCTTAGTTATAATTTTACCATTTGTGGTCAAAAAATAGCAATATAAGAAAATGTGTAGTATATTCTTCATAAGTAAACCAACTATACACTAGAGTTCGAATTAATTTTACACTTAAACTAGCGTGTACCCGCGACTTCGTTTGCGTCCAATTAATAATTTGTACTGGTGATGATAAAGCAAAGCAAGAATTTCTATTGACATACAAACTGGATAAAATTTTCTCACATTTGCCAAAAATAAGCTTTAAACGTCGAGCAGTTTAAGCAGAATCGTGGTTAATCAATTACTCAACTTTTTGGAACACCCTGTATTATTTTTTAAAAAATTTCAAAATATGTAAAAACAAAATAAATTATGCGTGTCCAAGCGTTTTCCCGAAAGACTAAACGTTTTTTAAATAACAAATATTGTAATATTTGAGGGGCGTTTTCACCCTCTTGGAATTTAAGATTCGAGAAACCCCTCCTTATCGAACCTCAACCCCACAGTCAATCCGTTTGCCAAAAATCAGCTTTAAACGTCAAGCAGTTTAAGCAGAATCGTGATTACTCATATTTTATGAAACACCCTGTATATATTTTTAAAAAATCTTAAAATATGTAAAACAACGAAATAAAATATACGTGTTTAAGAGTTTTTCCGAAAAACTCACCGGTTTTTAAATAAAAAATATTCTAATATTTGAGGGTGGTTTCACCCCCTTTGAATTCGAGTTTCGAAAAATCCCTTCTTATCGAACCTCTACACCCTAAAGTCAATCCGTTTGCCAAAAATCAGCTTTTTACGTCAAGGGCTTTAAGCAGGATCGTGATTAATCAATGACCAGATTTTTCAAAACACCCTGTATACATTTTAAAAAATCTTAAAATATTATTCTGAAAATTTTTCAGAATAAATAAATACCTAAATATTGAAACTTAATAACGTACTGAAACATACAGCGCCATAATATCTCGACCTCCGCCCGTTATGCTCGTAACAGGTTGAAAAACAATATATCTAAAACAACTGATGCGTTATTCTCCAACCTGTTTCGAACTTCCATCGACAATCGACCGATGCAGCAGCGTTCCTTTCCCACTCCTGTTATCTCCACCGCCAGGCGTTATGCCCGCAACTGTTTCAAAAAACCTGCTTCTTTTATATCCTATTATTTTTAAGCTGTTATAAGCGCAATACGACCGTCGACGGGATCGACCGAAGCAGCTACGTTCGCCGTAGCGCATTCCCCACTCCGTTGTCCGTTGTCTCGCCGCCTGTATCGATGGTTGACGAAATAACAGGTTTTCCATCCATACTAGTTGTTTTTTGGAATTGCTTCGAACAGCATAGAATTTCGGGGCGGTGCAGAGCGCCGACTTCGTTTTTCGTTTCACGAGCGGCCGATCTTTACGTGTCGTTATTTTATATCTGTTATTTTTTAGAAGTAGTAACGGTTGCGTTATGTTATTTCTAAATAATTGTTATAAAATAACAGATAGTTAAATAACAACCCATCACTATGTTAAAGTCTTAATAATGTTTCGATTTATTATAATTTTCTTCCAAATACTTTTAGTGTTTAGAATGCAATTTTGAGGGTAAAAGTTAGTATAAATGCGAAATATTTTAATGCTAAAAAAATGTCGACATATTCACCAGGGACGTGCATATGGGATATCACTGGAGTATTTTTCTAAAAAAAAGCATGTACGCCACTGACTTTTTTTCTCTTGTTAGCGAAATAGTGAAAGCAATTTAAAGCTGATTAAAAGTTCCCTCTTGATATTTTGTCGATTTCGGCTTCCTTGATGAGGTGAACGCAATGTTATTAATTCATCGCCTTGATCCAAGTCTAATAGCTACCTTTAAAAAATTTAATATCATTTACTTGCATAAGTTTTAAATAAATGCTCATTGATTCCTCCTCAAAAAATATGAAAAAAATTCCTATAAACATGGGTATGGAAATGCATAGTTTTAGAGTTACAGGATGTTGAAGCTTTTTAAAATTATTTTTTTTTGTAATTATCTTAAATACCATAATTTTTTTATTTGAAATTGCTGTAGGTTGGACTAATAGTAATATTTAATAATAAATTATGTTAAATATATAATTTATTAATTTTATTAATTGTGATTAATAAAATTGCGTTTATCTCATCAAGAAGGCCGAATTCGACAAAATATCAAGAGATACCTTTGAATTGGCATTAAACGACCTACACAATTTTGATATCAAAAGAAAAAAGTCGGTGGCGCACATGATTTTTTTTTGAAAAATATTCTAGTAATAACCCATATGCACGTCCCTGATGAATTTATCGACACTTTTTTGGCATTAAAATATGTAGCACTTTAGTAACTTTTACCCTCAAAATTTCATTCGAATCACTAAAAGTACTAGGAAGAAAATTATAATAAATCGAAAGATTATTAAGACTTTAACACCCTGTAGCTACGAAACAAAGCAGAATCGGACTTATGTTGATATGAAAAGTAAATCTTATTTTTACGTGAGGAATCTCCCCACGAGGGATGGCACATGTTTTTTTTCAACACCCTGTATAAAGCTCGACCAATTCACACATTAAATAATTGAAACTAAATTTAATTATTTGAATAAATTTCCTGAGAAATTGAATTTACTATAACTGCCTCAGTGACTTTTTTAAATGCGACGCGCGACCCATCACCCGCATCAATGGTTTAATGGTTAGGTTAAGCTTAGTCGCAGACCATTACCATTACAAGTTTGTATATTTTCTTATTTTCTGCTTCAAATTAAAGAGGGAAATCTCCCTCCTTCAAGGGTAGGAAATCACCTTGTACACACACTGTACAAACATTTTATAATAGGAAAGCCAAACAAACTATACTATACATAAACTGCTAACGAAAATATTGATTTTACCTGGAATATGTGCAGGATTTTGATCACCCTCCTCTGGAAAAATAATTTCGGTCCCTGCTCTAATTCCCGGTTTTATAGGAATAGTTAAAATTTTTTCCCGAACATCAGTTTTAGTACATTCTTCGTTGATAAAAGTTAATCTGTGAATTTTCATTTTCTTCACGCCGCCAAAATATACTTCGTGTAACGTTAAATAAAGAGAATGCTGTATAGGTGGCTGTTTTTTGCATACTTCTATTCCACTTGTAATTTTACACAGTTTTGGTGGGTTTTTTAAAACATCCAATAAATCAGCATAGGGCGAAGAAGTCCCAAAAAAATCTCTAAAATGTGAAGAAAATAAATTCAAAATAGTGATATTAAGAGTCCGAAAAACTAGCAAAATAAGCGTTCGGCATTTAACGTTTTATGTAAACTGGCTAGGTATTTTTACACAAATGAAGAAGGAAATTAAAGATAAAGGATTATACTGTATCCGTATTGTAGCACATTTTTACAGTACGTCTGCTGGATCTGTGTCTATGAAAGGAATGCGGACAAAAAACATTTAAATAAACAACAATATATTTTATTCGTCGACATGACGAGTACGTCACCGCAAATCGCTCCGCCCACTCATTTTATTGGCTACTTGCAAATTTGTCGAATTTTTATTGATGAGACGCGTCTAATTTTTTACGAAAAACATCGAGAGAATGTCCTTTCCCCTCTCACGGATACCCCGTAGCTATAGAACGGACAGACAAACTGTAGACAACTTCTTTATTTTTAAGATTTTGATGGTCAAACATCAACAAAATATTCCTTAAGTTTGGACTAAATTTTCTCGAAAACAAAGACTTAATAATTTAAAATTCCGTTACAATACGGAAATATATTGTGAAGAAGTTTTGTGATTACAGTGATATATAATTTATAGGTCAAAGATGGTTCGACAAAACAAAAATACTAAATGGAACCCCCCTAACAGTGACTCCAACTATGCAGATTCCGTTACAGCTTTCCTGGAAGAACGGACCTTAAACAGCCAACACGATATTGAAAATATAAGTAGCAATATTGTTGAAGCCATTAAAGAAGCGGAAGTACAACACTGCCAACAAATTAATAACAAACAACAAAAACTCACCCAAAATACAAAGAATATGATATTTTTGCGAAAAGAAATGTTAAAACAAAATAACAGAAACTCTGAAGACCTGAGACAATTGAACAAAACAATATCTAAAGAAATCAGAAAGGACGTAAGGAAATTTAATACAGATAATATAAGGCGAACTATAGAAGAGAATAAAAGTATGAAGGTGTTGCGGGGAAAACTATCAAATGGAAAGAGAGAGATCTTTAAACTAAAAGACAACCAAGGGGTCGCGGTCGTAACAACAAATAGAGAAAGGCTGTTGAAAATAACAGAAAATTTTTACAGTGAACTATACACAAGTAATCACCAACAAACATACAACAGTCAACAACGTCTGTGCAAAAAAATAGTTAACCAGGGATCAGAGGATATACCGGAAATAACTACAGAATAAATCAGAAACTCCTTAAAAGAAATGAAAAATAACAAAGCCCCGGGCGAGGACGGCATAGTGATTGAGGCTGTAAAACTCGGAGGAGGAACACTATTAAAATGGATTAAAGACTTATTTAATCTATGCCTTGAAAAGAAATAATCCCGTCTCAATGGAACAACGCCATAACGATACTTCTCCATAAAAAGGGCGATATCACCGAGCTTGAAAATTATAGACCGATAAGCCTTCTTTGTCACTTGTATAAGCTAAATCATTGCCAAACGTCTCGAACGTAAACTAGATTTCTATCAACCAAGAGAACAGGCAGGCTTTAGGAAAGGTTATGGAACAAACGATCATCTTCAAGTAATTAAAGTCCTGATAGAAAAATCTGTGGAATACAACTAGCATTGGTGTTCGTTGATTTCCAGAAAGCATTTGACACAGTAGAATTAACACCAATAATAGCAGCATTGGAGCAGGGAAGAGTAGATTATAGGTATACAAGGCTTATAGAATACATATATAGTAATGCCACCACAACTGTAAAACTTCACGAAACAACAGATAAAATTGAGGTAGGCAGAGGAGTTCGACAAGGGGATACTATTTCGCCTAAACTTTTTACAGCTGTCCTTGAATACGCAATGAAATCACTCTCTTGGGAGAATAGGGGCATAAATATCGATGGTGAAGGGTTGACACATCTCAGATTCGCAGATGACATCGTCCTTGTCTCAGATAACATCGGAGATTCAAAGCAGATGCTCGAAGAATTAGTGCAGGCCTCATTAAAAGTCGGTCTCCGGATAAATACGAGTAAAACGCAAATAATGACAAACTTAGTGCTGATACAGAACATCAGAATAGGTGACGCCGACATAAAAGAAACACATATATACAAATATCTCGGGCACGAAATACAAAAAAATCGGAAAGAACAACCAAACACACGAGATACAGCGCAGAATAGGTTTGGGTTGGGCTGCTTTTGGCAAACTGCGGGAGACCTTTAAAAGTGATATACCCATATGCTTGAAGAGGAAAGTTTATGAACAATGCGTCTTGACGGTAATTACATATGGAGCGGAAACTCTAACATTAACGAAAAAGTCAGCAGAAAACTTAAGAGTAGCCCAGAGAGCCATGTAGAGAGCCATGCTTGGAATAACTAAAAGAAACAAAATTCCTAATAACACTATCAGACAAAAAACCAAAATTAAAGACATAGTGGAACACGTAACTCGAATGAAATGGAGATGGGCAGGTCATGTGGCGAGAACATCTAAAGACAGGTGGACTAGAAGATTGTTAGAATGGCGACCTCGAGCAGATAAACGTAGCAGAGGCAGACCACCGACACGCTGGACCGATGATGTAAAGAGGATTGCTGGAAATTGGATGATGACGGCCCAAAATCGAGAGACATGGAGAAATATGGAGGAGGCCTACGTTCAGCAGTGGACAACGATGGCTACATGATGATGATGATGATAATTTATATGGTTTTGTAACAAATTGCTCGCTATTTTATGGCAAATGCTGCAGCTCTGCAAACCTTAATCAAGCCTTAATCAAAGCACGTGTGTTTGGTATTTTGGACGTGGCTTAACACGACACGATCGGACTAACAGCGCTTTCAGACGGAGCGCACCGTCCGCGCGGAGCGACCGTGCGGATGTTTTTTCAATATAGCTCATCCGGACGGAGCATACGCGACCCATGTGAAATCGTTCATATAAACTCATGGTACTTGCTCGAAGTCGCGGACGCTCCGCTCCATCTGAAAACGCTGCACAGTGGTTCCCAGATAGGTCATTACCAGGGCCATGTAAGTGAAATATTCAAAATGGTTCCAGCAAAAGTTTCCCAATTATGACGGGTGATGGCGCTGATCGTCAAGATTTTTGGACAGGGATTTTGCTTACCGACAATACGACGTGAGCTGCGACCGGACCCCGGACCAATCAGAATGATCAGTCTTTCTTGGACATTTACCGCGGAAGTGTGTGTTAATTTCTGTTGTGATAAGTGTGGTTGTGTTTGCAGTTTGATTTTTCGGTTTTGATATTATGTTAAAATTAATTTTGAAGTATTGTATCACCTGTTTTTATGTAATAGTACTTTTTTTAGTTCTATGATCTGATATGTTATGAATTGTTAATGTTTGTTTAACAATGTTATATCAAAGAGGTTATACTTAATATATCAATTTGCATAGCCTAACTTTTTTATCAATAAACTTTGTAGATTTTCAGATTATTTAATTCCTTTTGTTTCCGTTTGTAATTTTATTTTTAAGACATATTATGTGATTGTTTCAGATATGTTTTAAAAACAAAATTTGTAAATAGCGAATAAAAATAATTAAAATAAAAAAGGGTATTTTACAATTCCCCTGGCCCCTCACCCCTTTGGATAACCTGTAAATGTCAGCTTTGTCAAGAGATGGCGTTACGAAAATGGAACCGATTTATTACAAGGAACTTGGGCTTCTTTTTCGTTAGTATATTCTGTGGTCATTACTTAGAAATATTAATTTCAAAATGTTTGCATGAAACTATTGCTAATACTTTTCTTATATTCCCCTGTAAACGATACATAATAAATAACAAAATCAAGTAAGCCTAGTGTAGCGCTTTTTTTTATTAGAAATGTCACATTTTTGCTACTGTATCAAGCTGACATAAACAGTTTTCAGATAACGCCAATTAATTACTTATTTTATTAAAATTGATAAAAGCTGTTGCCTTTTCTGTAATGAACGTTCGAAAAGAAGGTAAAAAGAACAGTTTTTTTCCTTTTTTTTGCACTTAATTAAACCTAAGTAATATTAGTTTATGGCAATTTATTTGAAGGTAACAAAAATAGTATTTTTACATTTTTGTTTGTCACTCTTTAAGACTTTTAACTACTTTCGCTTTTAAATCCTCTAAAACGGCATGAAAATACTTGTTGCTTAAGGTATATTGCATATAAATTAATCGCCACTGGCTGCCGCGAATTGCCGTTGGATCTTATACCGGGTGGTTAAAGATTGAGTTTTTGTCTTAAAATAAAATTAACTTATTTTTTCCTCTTCGTGTCAACTTATTTCGTGGACACACTGTATATCAATTGACAATAAAATTGTATTTATAAAATGAAACAACTGTCTCTTTTATTTTTTTAACATTTAAAATAAACTTGACCTCTTCAATATGAAAAAACATGTATATACAGGGTCCGGCAGTAGTGCGTCGGGCATCTGTAGCTCCTAGAATAAAAAACTTAAGAATTTTGTTTAAGTGCAAACCTAAAGTATGTACCAGGATGTATATCAGGAAAATATTTTAACTTCTATAGGGTGGCTCAAAAAAGTGTGAGTGGACCTGAATGATTTTTTTTTAATGGAACACCCTGTTTTTAGAATTTTAGAATTTAGAATGAGTGGGAGGGGGGTTAATCACTTCGACCTTACAGATCCATTGTGTCCCCCTTTCTTGAATCATAACTCATCATACAGTCCCAGGGCTTTGACAAAAGCCAGTATCTGGGACGGTTTTATAGAGGGTATTAAAAAAAATTGATTAAAAATACAAGAACTGTTCTGAAATCAAAACTATTTTAGGTATTTACTTTAGATGGTCTGTACTTACTTTACTATAAATAATGAAAATCGTAAATCATACAGGATGTTCAAAATTCAACGCCAAACTTTCTAAAATATAAAATAATTTTTCTTCTTTTTTTTAAATAGAACACCCTGTATAATATTTTTTCAATAGACGGAGAATTAAAAAATGAACATTTTTTGTATTTAGAGTATTTCAAAATTTTTAACGGTTTCGCAGATATTTGCGGTTTTATATTTCATATGGCATTTTCCACAATAAATTTTTATTAAAGCCACCCAATGATTTTTCTCTCGTATTTTACCATTGAAAGCGCCATATGAAATAATACTGCGTGTATCTGCGAAACCGTTAAAAATTTTGAAATACTCTAAATACAAAAAATGTTCATTTATTAACTCTCGATCTAATAAAAAAATAATATACAGGGTGTTCCATTTAAAAAAAAACAAAGAAAAAATATTTTATATTTTAGAAAGTCTGGCGTAGAATATTGAACATCCTGTATGATTTACGATTACCATATTTATAGTAAAGTAAGAACAGACCATCTAAAGTAAATACCTAATATAGTTTTGATTTAGAACAGTTCCTGTGTTTTTAATAGTTTTTAAGAAGGGCTGAAAAATATATATTTTTGATTTATTTTTTAATATCTCTGAAACTATCGAAATATGTTTATTCATATCTTAGGGTTATGTAAAGTGATCTGAAAGGAAGCCAAAAATGCAATAATATACAGGGTGTTCCATTTAAAAAATATCATCCAGATCCACTCAGACTTTTTTGAGCCACTTTATAGAAGTTAAAATATTTTTCTGAAATACATCCTGGTAGATACTTTAGGCAAAGAGTAGATAAGACAAGAGACGACAGTGAACAAAGAAGTCGAATTTCGCGAGAGAGACGCAGATATATTAAAATTTAAAGGTCCCATCAAGTCCCATTTTGTCTGTTGCCAAGTATATTTCTTTGAAAAATAAACAAGATTTTCTGAAAATAAATTAATAATATAAGAAGGATATAAAGTAACGTATGTTAATACGGAAATGTAAATTTTTAGTTTAGGTTGGTTTAGGTTCTTTTTTCGCAATGTACTGATAATATCAAAGAAACAGAATTACTAAAGTTGGTCGATTTCAAAGATAAACAGATAAAATCTGAAAATCTGACAACTGCGCATTTTATTTATTCGAATCTAAAGCCGGAGTCTCATGCATCCGAAATCCGATGACACGACGATCCGACGGTGCTCCTATTGGTCGAAATATTTTGACAACAATTTTTATCCGATAATTTTAACTAATCATCCGACGTCGTATAAAGTTAAATTTTGTTTAACTTTTGTACGATATCGTGTGTTTTTTAACCTCACTTTTTTGAAGACATTTGTTTTAAAAACAAGTTTAGTGGGAAGTGGGCAATTTCGGGATATTTGGCGAGGAAGTTATTTTTATAAGTGTTTCTCCAATAAAACATGACATGAATCTCTATTCAGCGCAGCAGAAAAATGTTAAAACTGTCAAATTTCGGAACGAACTTTCGGATGTATGTGACAGGCTTTTTTTATTTCACACGATAACTTCAAATTTCGGATGTCGTACCATCGGATTTCGGATGCATGAGACTCCGGCTTAAGATTTTAGGACGCTAATCAGCTGTGCTAATCAGGCTTAAACATAAACAAATCTGATTAGTTGTTTTCTTGCATTTTTGCCTTTTTAAAGTGTGTTTTCAGAGTTTTTCGATATATTATCGTTTTGAGAGTTTTTAAGGTTTAATTTTAGTATCGTTTTTATTGCGTTCTAATTTGTAATTATTGTTAAATATGAATACTGAACAGGACACGAGTAGCAGGAAAAGACGAGATGGTGGCATTGTGTGTGCTTATAAAGACTGCAAAAATAGGTCTTGTTCTTCGACAAACATAATATTTCACTCTTTTCCAAAGGATCCTGAAAAGTATTTTTATAGAAATATACTATATAATTATGTTATTAAACTAAATGTAATCCATAGATCGAAGACATGGTTAGAAGCTTGTAATTGCGAGGATTTATTAAATAAAAATTGAGCAACTCTATTTTTTTGTACATAAACTCCACATTGTGATATTACACTTGTTCAAGTCCATATGTAAAAAAATACACGTAAATAAAACATTTCTTACAAATCGACTTGGTCACTTTCTCTTGTTTACCAACGATATACAAAATATTGCTTTTATTATCTTTATTCCCCGACAAATGTGTTTCTAATTATAATTTATTTTATATAATATTTAGAAAACTCATTTTTTTTCGTTTCTATTTATCTCTTTACCCACACAGTAACTATTTATAAGCTATACAGGCAAATTTTAATAATAGTCTATTTCAAATTTCCCGCGAAAAAGTTACGAAAATTTAAAGGGACAAGCGAGACGAGGTCACTCTCCCCACCACTCAAACATGAAAGGTACCGCGCGAACTGTCGTCTCTTGTCTTATCTACTCTTTGCTTTAGGTTTGCACTTAAACAAAATTCTCAATTTTTTTATTCTAGGACCTACAGATGCCCGACGCACTATTGCCGGACCCTGTATGTGCATAATATACAGGGGACATAATCTGTATACCTTTCCGAATAGTTTGAACTTAAAATGTAAATCACACGAACTGGGCCCATTTTTTTTTAATACATATTACATTAAGTTTTTTATATACATTTATTTAGCATTTGTTATATTGTTATCAATTTCTATTAAAAAAGGTTGAGTCAAGCTATATTTAGATATACAGGGTGTTTCAAAACAAATGCGAAAAACTTCAGGGGGTGATTCCTTGTTCAAAATAAAGGGTAGTTTGCTTCATAAACGTTGGGTCAAAAGTCAACCATTAGGGAGATATTGCGGTACCAAGATGGCGGAAAAATAATGTTTTTATTTTTTATCTTGAAAACGAAAAGAGATAGACTAATAAAATTTTATGGAAGCATTACTGTTATGAAAACACACTTTCTGGTAATTTTTTCACTTTTTTAAAATGAGTGGAAGGGGTTGAAATAAACTACCCCTATCATTCTTGTTAACGAAATTTAAAGAAAAATCTTATCAAATACATGCAAAAAAATTAATTTGGATAGTTTAGTTTGTTTAGAAACTTTTTTATCTCTTGTATTTTTTTGATAAAACTCACCAATTTGAAATTAAAATATAAAATGTAAAGCATTACATGTCAGGACAAAAAACATTTTCTGATAAAGAATCTAGTGGGCTGCTGTAATTTTTTTAGGAAAAAATCTAGTCGGCCGCTGTTACTTTTTAGGATGTTCCTAATATTATTTTATTTGACATTACTCTACTGCAATACCTTATTATCTAGATGATTATTTTATCGTTATTATCACTAGATTCTTAATCTAAAAATGTTTTTTGTCCTGACATGTAATGCTTTACTTTTTATTTTTTAATTTCCAATCGGTGAGTTTTATCAAAAAAACACAAGAGGTAAAAAAGTTTCTAAACAAACTAAACTATCCAAATTAAAGCATTTGCATGTGTTTGATAAAATTTTTCTTTAAATTTCGTTAACGAGAATGATAGGGGTAGTTTATTTCAACCCCTTCCACTCATTTTAAAAAAGTAAAAAAATTACCTGAAAGTGTGTTTTCATAACAGTAATGCTTCCATAAAATTTCATTAGTCTATCTCTTTTCGTTTTCAAGATAAAAAATAAAAACATTATTTTTCCGCCATCTTTGTACCGCGATATCTCCCTAATGGTTGACTTTTGACCCAACATTTATAAAGCAAACTACCCTTTATTTTGAACAAGGAATCACCCCCTAAAGGTTTTCGCATTTGTTTTGAAACACCCTGTATAACAGTTATGACCGCGCAGCTAATTAAGGGAAACCACTGTGCGCTGTAAGCTTTCTTCGGCCACAAACTCGCTTTACCCGACCCCCCGAGAGCGACCCGAATAGTACAGCGTAATCGACGCTTAAGAATCATTCGTTGCTTACTTGTAAGTAAGAATTGGATCGCCGTGGTAGTGATAGCCAGATATATATCCATTAGGACCAGGGACCCCCTTTTTTAATCCTTCTTCTCCATATTGATCATATACCGCTCTTCGCAAAGGATCGCTAAGAACCTCATAGGCCTCACCAATTAAAGAAAAAACTTGTTTTGAATTTTCTTGCTTGCATCTGTTACTATTAAATTCTAGTGCCAGATTTCTGTAACTACAATAATAATTGACAGATAAAATATCTATATTTTTGGAGAATTTACGCCTTTTTTATTTCCAACTCATCACTTGTTCTTGGAATTTGTAAAACACCATAATAATCAATTCCCATGACTAAAATTATAAATATTATTTTCGATTTCGGGCTTTCTTATCTTTTTGACATACCTTTCAAATTTTTGATTTTTAATTTCTGAATTTTCTATGTCCTCAAAGTATGTTCTTTCAATACGCTTCGTAAATATCTACGATTGATCTACACTACGTATAAATATTACCAGGCAAGATGAAGATGCGCTCGCTACCCTCTTTAGCTGTTCACTTTTAATTTAAAAATAGATGCAGTTTTTCTTAAATGTTGAAATAATTATGATTGTCCAAAATTGTTCAAATTTAGCTGTAAAATCAACAGGGAAGTCAAGAGTAGGACAGTTTTTGCATGGGATTTCCTGTTAATAACGACGATACGCCAACTGGTATACAGGATACAAATTCGAGGTACGAGCATTGGTATCTCGGAAACCGTCAAAGTTGCGCCTTGAGATGTTCACCAAGATACCATCAAAAAAGTTTTAAAAATTTCAAGGTTTACTGAGTTTTTTGGAAAAAACGGATTTTTTTGGAAATCAATTTTACTTTTTCCTGTCGTTACTTTTTAAAAAATCAACAAACTAATTGCACATTCTCGTAGCCACTTTATTAGGACTATCTGATAGTATTTTTAGATTTTCAAATTAGCTGATAATTTGTGAGATAGAGAGACCAACTTAATTTTTTTAAATACGGACCTGCATTTTTCATTTCAGGTTTTGAAAGAACTCGGTCTCCCGAGTACAATGATATGCCACATGCCACACTTTATACTTTTTTTGTACCTTAACAAAACTTTAATTATTATTTAAAATAACTTCAAGTCCGACTCTTTAAATTATTTAATCTGATTATATTCATTGTAACAATATTGATCAGCGCTAATTAATATTGAATAGTGAAGTTGAAAGATTCAAATAAATAATATTCCGGTCAGCAATTTAAAGATATTTTAACTTTTTTATTGTTCAATTTGAAATCTGAGCATAATATTAATCGTAGTTATTATAAATAAATCAACTTCTATCTTCTATAAACTAGTTTATAATGCTCTACATGTTCGAAAGGGTTACCACACTTCCTATTGCATAAATTTATTATTCGTTCAATTTTGTTTATAGCTCTTTGATCTTCTTATTTCTTATTATATTTCCGAATGCATTTTGTACTCTTTATTGTAAATGTTGAAAAATATTGATTTTACAAATGACGTCAAGTAATGCTCCCCCACCCATGGCGACAGGTCCAGGAACCTCACTGGCAATTATACTACTCTACCATTTCCAATCCATTTTCCGGGGAAATTATTTGATTGTTTGATTTTCATGTTATTTGTTTTTTTTATTGATCTTCCGTATTCAAGTATTTCGTAGTTTAAATAAATTGTGTTCAAATGTCCGAAACAAAAATAATATTAAGTGTGGCATATCACTGTACTCAGGAGAACGAATTCTTTCAAAAACTGAAATAAAAAATACTCAGCTAATTAATAATATCAGCTAATTAAAAAATCTAAAAATACTATCAGATAGCCCTAATAAAGTGGTTATGAGAACGTGTAATTAGTTTTTTGATTTTCTAAAAAGTAACGACAGGAAAAAATTAAATTGATTTTCAAAAAAAAACATTTTCGAAAGAAGCTCACCTTCATAACTTTTTTATCTTTTGAGATAAAAAAACGAGATTTGGTATGTAAATGATATAAATCTAAATTGATTGACGTATTCGATTAGGTTCGGTCACTTCCTGTTTCACCGGAAATGACTAGAATGTTTTGATTTTTAAAGGGTACTCTGATTTTTTTTTTAGTTTATTTCATAGAAAATGACATTCTGAATAGAATGACATATGATATGTCAACCTTTGGCATATCATATGTTAACTTAGAAAATTGTAATTTGTATTGTTGAATTTTTGGCACTTTTTTGATTTTTAACATTTTAAATTTAGCAAAGTTAAAATATTAATGAAGATCAGTGCTTACTACAAACAATCACTTTCCAGCTCAACACTTAGAGCTTTTAACAATATTTTTCAACCTGTAAGGCAAAATGGAAACTTAAATGGCAAGCGGTTAACTGACGTAAACCAAAATTTTGTTTTCAACAGTCTTTTCTATGCTAGATTAGCAGAATAAGCATAGCGGGAAGCCGAGCTTTCCAACCTAAATTTATTTCCTTTATCTATGTGCCTAGGCATTAAAATGACTTTTTTATATTGTAATCACGTTGCAAAAATTAATACTGTTGTGACGTTTGAAAAAAAAACATTTATTTATAAGTTTTATATCATGTCTAATTAAATTTGGATGAAAGGAATATTGCTGGTTGCTGTAGGTAATTTTATCAGGGAAAATACGTAAATACAAAGGACTTTTTGAATAAAAAAAGTCACAAGGACAATTTGCTCTAAAAAAGGACTGCCCTGTTCAAAAAAGGACAAGTGGCAGCCCTAATCATACGGTATTTGGCGGTATTTGCACCGTACGACTGAAAAAAGCGGCTTCAAGAGTTGGCTTGGAAATTGGAAATGGAGATCGCTGTTATTTTATATGTAAAATTTTATTGCGAATTTCTTGAAAAAAGTTCTGCTGTCCGTTTCGATTATACGCAGTGGTGTTTACAAAAAATAAGTTACTTATTTTTTAGATTTCTCTTCCAGAGGTAAAGAAACAGAGATTCTTTTCAGGAAATAAACGCGCCACAAAGGCATAGGCATTATATGGTGAATGACATCGATCGTCATTCCCGTGGTGCGATCACGGCCGCGATTACGATCACCACGCGGCCGCGGCCAAAGGTTGCTAAAGAATTCATATGAGCCGTTTCACACTGGCGATGGCGCGATCGAGTTTTGGAGACGAAGCGACCTAGCGGCGTTCCATTCTGCGGTGGTGATCAGATTCAACTTGTCGAGTTTGATCGCGTGATCACTACCCAACTGATAGGAATTTTCCTTTATTTTGTGTGTTTTTTCTTGTTGCAATTTAGAAATGAGTTAACAGAGCAGCTCATTAAGGCTGTAAAAATACACAAAATTCTATATGATTTATCTGATCCAAGTTACAAAAATAATAGAATTAAAAATAAAAAGTTTGAGTCAAAATTAGAGTTGCAATTGGATTGGATAGTACATATATGTATACATTTTTATTGTTTAAGTTTAAATATTGTAGGTAAATATTTGAGAATGTTTTTTTTTCGGTATTCATAATTCACGTTTTTAATTTGTACCTATGTATACCTATAGGATAGCTCATTAAGCCGGGTCCACATATGTAGCATCTTCGTGTATCATATCTCCGTCGCGTTGCACCAACATGTTTCATGATCGCTAGTTTGGACGCCGAATTAACGCGATCATATGGTACACCTTTGTGATACCGTATCTGATACATGCCAATCCGAATTTTGGCGCGTATCTTAACACTGCGTATCGGATACACGTATCACGATCTGTCATTTGGACGTGTTTTGATACAGTATAACGATACAATTGACTTGATACGCCGTGACCTGTCTTGAGGCGGTTTTTCTCCGATCATCAAAGGGGCATTGAGGGTTCGCTGAGAAGAATTGATGAACATGATACGACGATACAAGGTGATTTGTTGTACCGTCCATATACAATGATACGCACGCTTGTACGCTGGTACGTATGAATTTTATAAGTATGGACGCTTACTTTGGCACGATATGCATATTCAGTCGACACAGCCCAAATAAACGTCCATACTTATGATACAAGCTCTTGATACGTGATACATGATCCTGATACAATAGAGTGCTACATATGTGGACCCGGCTTAAATGAGCTATCCTGTAGGTATACATAGGTACAAATTAAAAATGTGAATTATGAATACATATAGGTACGGCGGTGAACGTGGCCGCATTGGTGTCTGCTAGAATGATCGCTCATGTTAAGCTGTACGCACACTGGTGCGATCACGGCCGCGATCACGATCACGATCAGGGCAGCGATAACATGAGCGATCATTCTAGCATACACCAACGCGTTCACGTTCACCGCCGTACCTATATGTAGTGCACCATCCTGTAGGCCATCATAGGTATAAATTAAAAAAAACAGTCTTAAATATTTACTTACAATATTTAAACTTAAACAATAAAAATGTATACATATATGTACTATCCAATCCAATTGCAACTCCAATTTTGTCTCAAACTTTTTATTTTTAATTCTATTATTTTTATTTTTGTAACTTCGATCGGATAAATCATATATAGAATTTTGTGTATTTTTACCCTTTTACAGCCTTAATTAGTTGCTCTGTTTTTTGTTGCTCAAGAACATACACATATAAAAAACGTTTTATGTTATATAGGGTTACTAGCATAGGTTACTAGCGTGTACCAGCGACTTCGTTCGCGTCGAATTAATCATTTGTAATAGTGATGATAAAGCAAGAATTTCCATTAACATACAAACTGGATAAAATTTTCTCACATTTATGTCAGCATGAGAAAAAACAATATGGCGATATTATTATATAACTTAGTAATATTCGAGGGGTAGTTTCATCTCGTTGGAATTTGACTTTCGAAAAATCCGTTTGCCAAAAATAAGGTTTTTACGTCAAGCAGTTTAAGCAGAATCGTGGTTAAGAAATTACCCAACTTTTTGGAACCCCCTGTATGATTTTTTTAAAAATTTCAAAATATGAAAAAGAACAAATAAATTATGCTTGTCCAAGCTTTTCCCGAATGACTAACCGTTTTTTAAATAACAAATACTGTAATATTTGAGGGGCGTTTTCACCCTCTTGGAATTTGAGATTCGAGAAACCTCTACACCCCACAGTCAATCCGTTTGTGAAAAATCAGCTTTAAACGTCAAGCAGTTTAAGCAGAATCGTGATTACTCAATGGTCATATTTCATGAAACACCCTGTATAAATTTATAAAAAATCTTAAAATATGTAAAACAACAAAATAAAATATACGTGTTTAAGAGTTTTTCCGAAAAACTCACCGGTTTTTAAATAAAACATATTTTAATAAATGAGGGATAGTTTCACCCCCTTAGAATTTGTGTTTCGAAAAACCCCTTCTTATCGAACCTCTACACCTTAAAGTCAATCTGTTTTCCAAAAATCAGCTTTTTACGTTAAGCGCTTTAAGCAGGATCGTGATTAATCAATGACCAGCTTTTTCGAAGCACCCTGTATACAAATTGTGTAGGCTTTCACGGCCGGTATTGCCCTGGCCGAACACACAATAACGCAGGAAGATCATCAAATTCTGTTCAATAATACGGAAGTCCTTTCAACAGGGAATCACTACTTTGCAAGACAATATGGCGATTACATACCGACGTCTGCTGGATCTGTGTCTATGAGAGGAATGC